ACTGACCACTGTGTCACCATGCTGCCCTCAGACTCACTTTATTCAAGAGACTTTTGTCTTTAATCAAGATGTGCATTAGAACGTACAGGACAGAGGAAATGTGGGAATCTTTACAGGACAGTCTGTTATTTTAAAATGTGTTAGCTTTGGATACAGTACAGTACAGTATATCCACAATGCTTGTTGGGTGGTTGCAGCTTCTGGGTAAAGAATGACAAGGCCATTCAACTCCTATCCACTACATTTAGCAAAACAGACCAAATAGGCTCCTTTCATTTGTCATGTTTGTAATGGTCCTATTAAAGTAGCTGATTTACCATCTGTGGACCCAATCTCCCCCAGAGGTAAAACAAAATGGGTTTTCTGGTTCTGGGTAAAATACAAAAACAGTTTGTCTCTGTTACTGTTCTCTCTGTTTCAATGAGATTTTGTTTCGTAAGCATGTATACAATGTATTTGGACATTGACATTTTGGGATTTCAGTCACCTCAATTCCATGAATAATCTAATCAGATTAGTTACAATGACATGAGGCCATTTTATCTATAGGCTCATTTGATTCTGTTTCTTTATAGAGTCATAATCAGTGCTGATTTTATTAGGAATAACCACGCCTCCAAGAAGCAAAACTCCCCAAAAGACAGGTGTCCTAAGATGGTATCAGGATGGCGCTTAAGGAAGTTGTAGTAATCACTGTGTGGTTCTGGATATGTAATATACTCTTATGATGTTCAAGCACTGTTGGAAACTGAATGACTACCTGTCACTAAACTGAAACCTGTCACAGCAGCTGGCACCAGTGAAGGCTGGCTGGACAATCACACAATTGTCCAGCCAACTTGAGCTGGGAAAAGAAATGACAGGCCTTACAGACCATGTCCCTGAGTTTATACTCTACATATCTGTGGTTCTCTTGTACAGTATCAGTGTGAAAGTGTACAGAAATGTCTGGCTAAATAACAATTCCTAGTTGGCACAATAAAACAATGAAAAATAATACTGATATTTCTATACTAAAATGCAAGATTAGAGATCAATAGGCTAATTTCTTCAGTAACAAATTTAAAATGAAATACTCAGACCATTAAAGCCACACTAATGTCACAATCCTGATAAACAGCAAAACAATCTTATTGGCTGCCTTGTTATTGAAAAACATAAAAAAAGACAATTGAAGGCTCTCACAGAAGAATAGCATGTAAATGAATGTTAATTTGTTTTCAGATAAAAGACCAAAGAATAAATATTCAGAGAAATCTGTTAGAGCAAAACACATTTCTTCGACAGAAATTACCCAGATCAAGTAATGATAAATTAATATTTAGTGACAGTGATCATTATAGGCGGTTATTTCTCTGTGTTTTCGTTCACAATTTGTGAAAATAAGAAGATAAAATTTGTGTTTTAAAAATTGATGAGAGAAAGCTAAATAGTTTGTGTAATGTACATCTTCACCACTTATATTGGGCTGAATTAGTCACTGTGACTTGGCACTTAGCTGTAGCCTATTCATTTCCAGGATAAAAATGCTTCTATTGTATTTAAAAATGTTTACAGCTGAATTTGCAAACTTGTTTCTCTCAGAAATGAAATTCAGCTACGATAAATACAAGAGGTACAGTATCATTAAGACAACAGTGAAACAATGAATGTGAAAATAAATGTTTTTTTCAATGACATTTTCTGAGAGCCATCTTGTCAAAACATTTATCATAGTTATAAAGTACCAAATAAAGAGTAGGGAAGTTTTAACCCTATCGGAAAGGGCATTTAATGCCTGTGCAATGACTATGTGAGAAAGACCAAAAACACAGTACGTGATAGTTGAAATCTCATATACTGTAGTGTATAGGGCAAAAAGAAAATTAACAAGGGTTTGCAGATTGAAATTGAATTTTTCATTTAGATTCTTTTGTATGGTACTCATGGGGAAAAAAAAAAACTTTATTCTTCTTAAGAAGAGTGACTATCTTCCTGTCTGCAAGGCTTATTTTCCCATTACACTTCATGATCACTGTGCATTTTAGACATAATGAAGTCTTTAAAACATGATTGATTGAGAATGAAGTCTTTAAAGACCTCATTTGACACTTTATTTCAGATTCCTTAGAAAGGCGGCTTTTAAAACTGAAAACAATCAGAGTTGCCAATGTTTATGAGAAAGCTGTATACTTTCCAAAATAGTCAGTTATTTACTCCCAGTTTTGAATTATTAGTTGCCGATCATCAGGGCATACTATTATCACACTCTTACCTGGATGGGAGGGATGAGGACAGATCCTACAGTATTGTACAGTATGCTCTGCAGAGGGCTAGTAGTTAGCTATGGCACTCCCTAGAAAAAGCTGTGGTCTTAAGGGTTCTACCAATTATCGCTAACATAATTAATGTTGGTTGCCAAAAAAGCTTCATTGCAGTTGATTCAAATGGCCCAATGTTTACTACCTCTACTCTGAAGTGAAGTCACTCTCTCCAAGGTACTTTAAATTTGTGCTTGCTATGGAAGACAGTATAATGTAAAATGTGATCAATTGATCTTTTATGGAGGCATACAGCTAGCTGCCTTTTCCAGATGATGAATTCTGTGGAGGGTGCTAGCCAGCATTTCCAAGCCAGCATGTCTGCCATTCATTAGCATGCTTTTTGCATTGGTCTTCTCTCAATACCTCTGTAGTTCAAAGGGTTTCTTTGCACTGTATTAAGCCTGTCAAAACCCACCTTTGTCAGCAACCCACTCACATGAGCTGCAAGAAAGAAAAGAAGAGCATTTCTAATGATAATTAAAATGTCCTTTTTTCTCCAGTCCTAACAAAGCAGCTAATACTGTTGTTAACGTGTTTATTAGATGTACTCATGTTTAATGTTTTAATTGCAGGACACAGATTTCTTCCTCCCATTTCCTTTGTAGAAGCTTTTGTGTTGCTCTGAGATGAGCACCTCATAGTTAGGCACACAACTTCTCTAGCCAATCTAAACAGAGTGTCTATAATGTATTTCTGTCTGATTTGTGGAATTGGTGGAATGACATGTGTAACGTCACATGGTCCCCTATGCTAAAGCATCAGATTACTGGAACCTACAGTTGAGCGCCAAACAAATATTTTGTAACTTACAGATCATGCTTTTGTTCTTTGCTTTTTGACAAAATTCAGTTGTGTCAGGATACTGGATCATGGGGGAGCCGAAGCTTATCCCAGCAAGCAGCAGGAGCAAGACAGGACACATCCTGGACAGGAGCCCAGTCCATTGCAGGGCATACACAGACACAAACATGCACACCCCCACACCTGAGCAGATGTATGTTTTTGGACTGTGGGAGGAAACCCTCACAAGCACAAGGACCAAGGACCTCAGGACTGTGAGGCAGCAAAACCACTGTGCCACTCTGTCACCCAATTGACTATATTCATAATTATTTGATTTAGCACCATTCATGGTATGTTATACTCCAAATCACTAATTATGATTTGAAATATTTTTCTTCAGACTATGAACTAAGACATTAGAATATAATAGAAAATACCTTGAAAAGTAAAATGAAAAAGGACTAGATTCCATATGTTAATTACAGGTATAATTGTTATACAAGGCTGAATATCACCAAGGAAGGATGAAATAATTTTATTTTTTCCAGAGTACAGTTTGAGTACTTTGGAGTTAGAACTTTGCAACAAGCTTTGTTAGTTTTTATACAGGGTATTAATTTTAAAATAACATTTTGAATTTAAAATAGCTGTGAAATGTTTAAGTGCAAGAATAGTGATCATGAATGGAAAGAAATTTGTTCATTACATGAGTTAAATGTGTTTACACAATGACAAGACGAGAATGAAGGAATAATTAATATATATTTCAGTGAATAAGGTACAGTTCTCTTCATTTTTTTAATCAGAAACTGTGCAGAGGAAATGAAACAAGCTAAAATCTGTATAAAGAATCTAAAATAGTATGTAAGGGATTGTGCTGTATACTACAGCTAAAAGCTTTCTAATTATTCTAAATGTATCAGAAAGTCTTGAAAAATTGAAAATGGTTTAACAAGAAAGCACTTCACAAACAGTTACACATTTGGGAGATGTCTCACATCTCTTTTGTGCATCTGACTTTCTTTGTCACACACACAATTGTGCTTTTAATGAAAATTGTGCTTTGGAAGAACCACAACATTACATTTCTTAGGACTGAATTAACTGTCCTGGGGACAGAGTGATGATGCTTGCTGTGGAATCTACTGTTGAATAACAGATTTGAACAGGACAAGTAAATACCTGTAGACCCTACTGGAAATATGAGTTACTCCAAATACTTACAATGACAGTACTGCTACTAGTAGTAGTATTAATAATTGCGATTTAAACCAACAACTATGAAAATATAATGTCCATATCACACTTCCAGCAAAAAATATTTTTTAAAGTGCACATTTGTATGATTAGGTTATATTCCTGTGAATTGAGCACTGGGTTGATTTTGGTCATCTTTTAATTTCCTATTCTTCCAGCACCAGTACATTGTCTCCTTAGTCTACAATCTAAAATTGCTTCCAGCATTTTAAGACTGATGAACAAACCAAGTTTCAGAGCATATCATCAATATCACATTTATATTTTCTTTCACACTGCATTTCAATTCAGTTATGAAACCGAGAGTGATTATGTGCAGTTCCCTAAATTATATTTAGTAACAAACAATTAGTAACAATATAGAAGTATCGCATTCTAAATATTTAATGTTGAAAGGCTCCTTTAAAAACCTTAAAACATGACAAACACAAAGCATTGCAGTACTTTGTTTGAAAAACAAATGGCAACGCCACAAATTAAAATTAAATAAGAAGAGCAATAGTTAGAAGTTTGTCTTATGTACCTTACCTATAGTTGATTTTCACTTGTTAATGTTTATTTCTATAAATTTCCTTTTTATCATTTGCATCACAGAGCAGGACAAAGCTTTAATGCTGCATTATAATATTGAAAAAAAACAACACATAATCAACTCACAGATGAGAAGTTTTGTGGTCCACATATCTCCCCTCGGTATTTACAGGAAAGCAACATATCATCCAACTGGTGCCCTAGACGATCCATAAATTCCAGATTGGTGCCCTCGAAATTGCGGGGGGGGAGGAAGAGATGGAAATCTGACAACTTCTGGAACCATTTTTGGTGGTCATCCCGAAGGAGCTCCAGAATGATGGGCCTTGCCGTTCTGTTGGCCAGTAAAAGGCCGAGCCAGTGACCGGCAAAGTACAGGTCACTCTTAGTCAACTTGTAGAAGCGTATAGGGTTGTTGTTGCAAATGGTAATGGCGGGGAACGGCAGTTCCTTCGCCCATTCCATGTGGAACTTCGTGTGCGTGGGAAACGAAAGCCAATAGAGAAAACGATTTGAAGACCAGGAAAGAAGAAAGCCCAGCGAGGTGCAGAAAGCCAAGAACCAGAGGGCACGATGCTGGAAAGACAAACTTCGGGAGTAGATGTATTTGATCCCGTGCAGCCTGGTCTGAGTGATGAAGGCCAGTGTCAGTTGTTTAACTCCTCTTGGGGGTTTTCTCCTCTCCTTCTTGGGTGACTTTTTGTGGCCGCTGGGAGGTCTCCTCTCTTGCAACCCCTCTGATGTCATGGCTCCCCACAGCGTCACTAGAGCAGTAGAAAAGACATCTCCCAGCAAAGACTGCAAGTTGGGGCCCCACATGAAGCACCGCGTGGCAAACAAAGAAAAAATGCCCCAACACGTGTATTCAAAACTAGGTGCCAAGCGTAGCTTGCAGCAAACTTTCAGTATCAGAAACAGTAGAGTCTGTAATCAGAAAATTTTCCTTACGCATCTCTGCTGAGGAACATACTTTCTTCCTGCTTCCACAGATGACCAAACATCTTAAAGTTTAGTCCTTCTGGTCTCCTTTCGCTGACATAGTGCACTGCCTGCTCAGTGTAAGCAAACCTTTCCAATTATATACGCATAAGTACACACTCTAGATACTGCCGCTGTTGCTGCTGCTTGGATGATTCCTGTATTGCAGACGCAATGTGACAGAAGCTACACAGATGGAATCAGTAAGGAAGAAAAAAAAGTCTCATAGCTTGATTTTTTAGGAAGTAAAAAAATGAGAAAGAAACAGCAACTGTTAACGGAGCCTTTTTTATCCCTTTTCTTCTACATTTCCTGCTCATGTCATTTCCAAGCTTCACTGCTTTCAGTCCAAAGTGCCTCCGCTGGCTTCAACTTGCTTTTTCGTTCAGCGCTGGCAGGACCAGAGTGGCCGCTGCTCCAGAGGAAGCTTGAGTCGTTACCATGCCGACAGTAGTCCTGCCCCACTGCATCTTTTTCCAGCCCCTCTCATGTCTCTGCTCCTCTGGATGACACCCTCTCTTGCTCTCCCCCTCCCTAATTGTCTGTTCCCCTTCTCTCCAGTTCCAGTATCCCCCACCGAAAGCCTGGCACCCCCCCTGGCAGCCCTGAGGGAAGGCAGAAGAAGCTAGTTGTGCAACAAGGACAAGCAAGATGCTCCTGCCAGGAAGGCACTGCCTGTGGCTGTTTTATTATATATTCCAACCCTTTCAAGCCATTGGTCCCACAATTTCTCTTTTCAGACAGCTTCCATTTATTTATTTTTCTTTTCCTCCCTTTTTAGCCTGCTGGAATCTATATGCCACAGACAAAAAAATAAATAGAACAACTTGTCCTTTTCTGTCACTTTTCTTTGCCTCCTGACTCCTAAAATAAAATGTATCACTGTGGTCTCTCTATGAGCTAACCCCCTGCTGTTGCATCCTCCTGCTGGCCCACTCAGCACAGAGGCAGTAAGCACTGCCTCCTCAGATGCTTGTCTAATATGTGGCTTAAAAAAAACAACCTTCAGTTCAGCTGCTGCTACTCAATGCATTGTTATGCCCTCACAAAGGGAGAGAAAGTGTGTGTGTGCTAGTATCAGAGACGGGCGAAAGGGAAGAGAAGGAGAGAAAGCTATGCAGCCAGTGAGTTTCTGACTGTGCTCTCAGCATTTTAATTTCTTGCCAGTTTTAGCCACATAAATTATTTCGATTGTGCAGCTGCAAAATAGAGCCATAGCCACAGATAACCAGCCTTTGGGGAGATAAAGAGAGAGACAAGAGAAGGCAGAGGGTGGTATGAGGCAAAGTTGCGGAGGTGATTTGAGAAAATTGCAGAGTGGATTCACATCAAAAGCCATACTCTGCCTCCATTAATTTTCAATCCCGGTAAGAGGAAACAAATACAGCTGGGGTGTAAATCCCATTTTTTGCCCTCTTGAAAACAGAAAACATGCAAGCCAAAAAAACAGCTTGACTCAATGAAAAATCATTTAAAGGTTTCCACATACACCAATCAGAAAGATCTTTGTATACAGTATTACTTTCATTCATGTAGGTTTATATTCCTTATCTCTCCACCCTTCACTGCTGTGAAAAAGCCATCAGTAGAGGAACATTTTCTGAAAACCTTTAGGGAGTTTTGTTTGTGTCCTTATGTCAGACAGAATTTTCATTTATGAGACGAGGGGGGGAAAAGAAGCTCAGACACTTTCCCTAAGGGTCCTCATGCAAAAACCTTTTCTTCATTTATTAATTTTGGTTCTCTTTTACCACTGCGTATTCCCTGGTTTCTTTATTTACACAATTTGCAGATAAACCAAAAATAAAAAAATCTCTAGCAAGGACAACACAACATAGTTTAAAAAAAAAAATCATGGTAGCTATTAGTACATTTTCCATATGACTCATCTTCACATTAGGCTTGGTAATCCTGTAAGGTGCTTAATTAATATTGCATATTGCGTAACAATTCCCCTTATTTCCATTATTTTAAAAAGAGCAACAAATGTTACCAAATCCCAAGTACTGTATGCTAAGGCAGTTTAATGCTGGTACTTTTGGTAATATTATTTTTACTGTATTTAGGTAATATATACTGTAGTATAGCTACAGGTACATACTGTACTGTACAGAATACTGTATATTCTTCTACTGTGGAAAACAAGACTCCTTTTTTCAAATGGTGCAAAAAAGGTAATCATCGGTGCAAAGAGCAAGCTTGCTTTTCTTTTCTATCATTTTTATGAGTAATTGCAGACATCTCATACGCCATTTCAGTGCAATGGTGAAAAGTTAAGTTGCTTCATACAGTATGTTAGGCTGACCTGTAGAGGAAACCTTGAATATAAGAGAATACATATACACCATTACATTTTTCTAATGTAGATTGGCCATTTTAGTACTGATCTGTAATCCTGTGATTTTTTGGTTTGAGTAGGTTCAAAGAGTGCTTTCTTATACAACACTTCTATTTTTTATTTCTCTTGGCTTATAGACCAGGTCGGAGAATAGAAATGTAATATTCAGATGAAAAGCCATTTTTTTGTATTTCTGTGTTTTAACAAGTGTTTGAACATAACTGATTTCTTGTGAGTTTATTATTTTATGTCTTACCTTTTGGTTTATTTATTTTACTTTATTGCACTTCTTTATATGTTTTGAATGTTTTTATTTGATTCTAGCCCTCATTTTATTCTGTTTTATTTTTTCAACAATTGTTTTGCTGTGTTCATTTGAAGCTCCCTCTGCCCATCTGTTGCAAAGGGAGTTATGTTAAACGTGTACTTCGTGTTTATTTTGTGTACCCACTAGGGTGCTACATACTGTAAATATAACTAAGAAGCAAACATGGAAATCAATTAACAATTAATGCATCTTGGTCTCAATGACATTCCAATGGGGCAGTTAACATCTCCAAACATTACCAAAAATTAGAAAAACACTCATGTCCAAATAAATTGTTTTAAGACCAGTGCTTTTAAGTGTTTTAAGACCAGCAATATACAGTTTACATAATATGTTTATGTTCCTAAATTAATATAGTTTATGACCTTTAGATGCATTATGATCTTATTCTTTTTATGCTCAGCTACTAACATTTCCCTATTGTGGTAAAATTCCATATAAATATTCAATACTAAGCGGATTTAAACGTGCACAGTAAAGAGATTAAATGATTAAATCTTTCCACGACCAACCAACGCACCACGAGTGCCCCTGTCGGTCATTTTGGCCAGCCAATCACATATTGTATGACGCATTATGACGCACTATGACGTAATGATTTGCCAGAGATACGGGTTTGTACCGCTCACTTTGAATGGCTGCATCTGTATATACAGTATAAGGTTGAATAATTTCACAATCTCACACAAACTATAATATAGCATCCGCACTGTTTCTATGGAAGTCATTATCAGCAGTGAGTTATGAGAAAAGTCAAACATACGATGTTTGTGTTCACAAGAAATAAAATCTACTGTACATACTGTATGGTTCAGGCATATCAATGACAACTCTGACCTTTTTAGATGAAAAAACAAAAACTATCTCAATAATCTTATTATTCTCGCATAAAGGAAAAAATACAGAGCTGCGAGATATAGACAGCATATGAGTTATTGATGTATTACACAGATATCACAACTCATAGCAGCAGTAAAAAAAAAACAGGAACCAAAAGCCCATTTTCACTTTATTTTAAGGATAGAGAGGATGTTGGTTTCAATAGCTAAAAAGCACAGACAGCAGGGTTTTCCTTTAAAGGTGCTTTCCTAGCCTGATCTCTTCCAAGACAAAACAGTATGTCACTAATAGCTATAGTCCCTATTACAAGGAATGGCACCATTCCATCATTCCTGCACTCTGTATCATTCCTCATGAATAATTTCACAAAGGCATACAGTATGTAAAATAACACAATACGAAAATATGTAGACAGGGTATCTACAATACTTACTGAAACTGTGCAGAGTTTCTGCTACAGTACAGTATGTAAAGATGTGAATAGCTGCCACACGCAGGGTCAAGTGTTAGCTGGTGGTCAACATAGAAAACTGAATGGATTTCTCAGAAAGTGAAAACCGTTGCTCTCAACTTTTAATAAGCTTTACTCCTATCAATGGAACAGCCTTGGATGATTTATAACAAATCTCCTTAATGTTTTTTATCATTATAGCCATGTTACCCCACTGCTACAGCTGTTAGCATTTAATATTATAACTAACACCAATGCTAAAGGTGTTAAGCAGATGACAGAATAATTTTGCAAGACATGTTATGTAAATTTTACCATTAAGAAACTGAAGAGGATATTATTCTGCATGCTTCTTGACCATGTGAAATGGATTTTGCATGGCAAGCACTTGAATTACAGGCTTGTTTCGTGCTCTAAAAATAAAAAAGTGACTACATGGAAACTGACCACATTTTTAAAGCACAATGAAATAACTGAATATAAGTTATTTTTTCAAATTGAAAAGAAAAGATAAAATCCGTTTTTGTGTGCCCGCATAGAAAAAGTTTATAAGGCCATAATAACTGTGGTCTATGGTCAGTTGGATTAAATGTGGAAGTTGATCTCTCTCTTCAGCAATGAAGAGCACCTTGTTGTCACAAAGCGTTCTTTCAGGACCCTATGCAGACAGCACAATTCGGGGAGGAGTGAGGAAAACACGGGGGAAAAGCATGCAAAGGGGCTAGAAGGAAAACTGGGGGGTGTGTTCAAGGTGCGCTGGTGTTCAGGGGGTTGTGTCCGAGGCAAACAAGTCCAAGGGATTCCGTTGCAAATCCAAGAATGATCCAATTCCAAAGCCTGGAGATCCATCCAGACACAGGCAAACAGAGTTAAAAGCTAGAGCGAGATCCAGCGAAGGGTCGGGGGAATTAAAGGGGGGTAATGGGACCAGATGCTCCCAGTCCTGGACCCAGATGGTCAGGACACCGTAGTGAAGCCTATGCCGTTGAGTCGCTCCTGGACTCGCAGGTAGGCGATGAATCAATGAATTACTTTGACTCTGACTCTTTTTGTATGGAGCTGTTAGAAGCTCCATGTTGACAGGCACATTTTGCAAAGGTATCCTTATTAAATATCCATCCATCTATTTTCTAACTGTAGTTCAGGGTCGCGGGGGAGTTGGAGCTTATCTTAGCGAAAGGCAGGGCACACCCTGAATGGGACGCTAGTCCATCGCAGGGCACACACAGACATGTACACACTACTAGCACCCCTCTTTCATGAATTGTTGAAGAGCAAACACAACATTGTTATCAATTGGAACAAGTAATAGGTTTATTCCATTCTGAAAGGAGAAGAAAGAAAACGCAATGTTTCGGCTGTGGAGCCTTCTTCGAGTAGCAGAAAGACATCAGAAAACAAAACTATCCATAACGTGGTTCATACCTTCCCCCTTCTCTCAATGACAGACTTGCTTTCGTGTAATCTTTCCTATTCTCATGCAGGTTTTGACTTCACCCCTCTCTTCACCTCTCTCCATTTAGCACCACCTGAGCGGCCTCTCTGCCTCTCGCCTGCTCGGCCTCCTCCACTCGCCCAGCTTTTGTTCTTCTGTGCTATTTAATCTTTGCTGTCTGCCCTGCCTTTCTCAAACCCGAAGAAGGCTCCACAGCTGAAACGTTGTGTTTTCTTTCTTCTCTTTACAGCAGGGAATAAACCTTTTACTTGATCCTTTGCAGCCTACGAATGCTGATGCAGCTACCCACCTGAACATTGTTATCCATGTTTGCTGTTGCAATGGGTCTTGCAGACCTTTACAATGACTTCTTGGAATGCTTTTACAACAAGACTTTAAATAGAGAATTGAAGATTATTTTCAAATTTATAGTCACCCAATCTGGTAACAGCATTTTTTATTTGCCAATTAATAGAGGTTTATGACAACTGTTGTAATTTTGAAGTATTGTGACTGGAAGTAAGCCATTCAATATTTAAGTCTATTCACAAATGCAGATCTAATTTCCAGTTTTTTAAAATATATCTGTTTCCTCTTGTACATTTCTCAGTCTTCCTTCTGCAGA